GGAAAAGTTCAGATGAATGGAAGAAGGAGTGGGATTAAATGATGAAATGTGCCCAGTTATTCGCACATGAAGGCATATATTATCTCCTGAATCCAACGCTCCATTTCTTGGCCGGCTTTTGAGAGTATTAGTTGTTTCAATTCGTCAGCTGGTATCTTTTGTGACGGCTTCGTGTAGAGATAGGCGTCTTTGAATACCGGTGCTTCCAATGTTACTTTGACACCCGGGTGCACACATTTTGTCACCTGCACAGTAATCTCCAGCTCTAAACTCCCAATTGTTAACTCTGTCACCTCCTAAAAAGCAAAAATACATAGCCGATGGAATAAGATGTCAGAGGAACCAGGAAATTGACTCTGGGATAACTGGAGACAGGCGACAATTGCTTTGAAAATGGAAAATTAACTTAGGGGAAGTAAGGCAGCATGTTTGTGAGTTCTACAGTAAGAGAGATGCTCAAAATGCTTTGGCGGCGATTGTCCGTGATTTGCTCACTTATGTTACAGTGGCGCATCTGTAGTGCACTACTCCAAACTGCAATGCACTAGCGGTGGAAAAAGGAGGAAGATGAGACAAATGCGGTAGAGTGAAATGTGGAAAACTTACAGTAGTGGGTGGTAATATAACCAAATGAGATGCAGAGATGCAAGTTCGAAGAGTATAAGTGACGTTTCTGCTGATCGTGGCCTTGAGAAGTGTAAAGGGGCAAGAGCGGCCAATGTGTTCAACAGATTGCACATGGAATCCTGAGCCATATTTAGCTATGTTTCTCGGTGCGTCATTGAGGGCGCAATCAAGTATGGACTCCACAGTGCGTTCTGCGCAAGTTGTGTTAACAAGAGGAGATGTGTAACTCACCATGACCCAGAATGTGAACTGGCAGAAGTAACACCAGAAGCAGTATGCCGTTGAAGTGAAGGAACTGCATGTCCTAAGGGTAGTGTGCTGCTTTGCAGCATCAGCTTACTTTTATACTCCCTCTGTCGTATGGTTGAAGGTAATTGGCGAGAGGCGGTTGCATCAGAAGGGAGAGATGGAGATCTTGGAGGTCATATCAGATGGCACCATATTCGCACATATTGACCCGCTCCGGTGGCAAATCACGTGTAACGCGTAGGAAAACGTGTGTGCGAAGGTATGAAACGTAACGCAAGTGGCAACTGCAGAATGTATATCTTCATGAAGAAGTTTAATTTAAATACGTTAGGAGGCGACAACAGTCAGCAATATGAGTGGGCAAGAAGCGTATGTGTATGCTGAGGGTTAAGAGGTTATGTTCGGCTCCCCTGAGACGCATGATGGACGTTGACGTGTGGTAAGAATAGCCGTGACTGCAAGTTGTGTACTTCTGCCCCCTTACATTTGCATTAAATACTCTCACTGATGTACATCTACTCTGTGCGTGGAATTGTGGAAATGAAAGCAACATTGTTGGTCAGCGTGGTCGTGGCCACAATCCCGGTCGAGGTTAGTGCCATCACTGGCTGCAACACTGATGGCCTATTCAAAGGGAGAAATTCGACGTGGCACGGATGCAGTCAACTTAACACTAAACTACTTTCACATATGCTACAAAATACCGTGAGCCTTCTTGCAAGGCTTTTATAACAATATGTTATAATATTTTCTAATAAGTGTGGGGGTGTCTACTACAAAATCACGGAGAGGCAAACCCATCAGTTATTACAGAGGATGATTTATCAGGAGGACTCCAAGAACTAACGTATTATTATTAAATGCAACGGGGTGCAGTGGTAATGAAATGTTGGTTGAAATCTTCTGCAGTAAATATTTTTAGTGACTTGCTTGACACGAAAGCCAAGATATCAGGTAAAACAGGCCTGTAGAATTAAATGTATCGTGATAAAATAAGCGTTTGACAAACAGTCAAGCAAAGAGAATAACTGAAATTGAATTTTGAGCCTCCATATACATTTACAGCTGAAACAATGCAATTGTATTTCATCAGCCATTCTCTCCTTGAAATTCATCTCTCCCATCTTCACTTCCAATTCCACCAGTCTGTACCGCTCCCTAGTTGCTGGTAGCATGCGCAGAACCCTTCATTCAAACCACGACTCCAAACTCGA